CCCTGCTCTTTCTCTTCTTCATTTTTCTCTTCTCTCTAGTAAATTCAAGAGTAAAACATTCCCCTTTAATTTCCTCAAGTTGGCTGAATTATGCATCATGGGGCATATTTATAGGCAAATTTTTGCCCATGATTTGCCTTGTTTTGCCTTTAGGAAACTTGGAAATTTCAAAGCCACTTGTCCATTGATCATGTCATCTTTGTCAAGATGAAGACAAGTGTCTAACCATGCTATAAATCAAGCTCTTCCAAACAAGATCCTGCCATGTGTCTTGCAAACCCTAAGATCATGCCATGTGTCTTGTGAGGTGTCTTCCTTTTAGAAGATCATGTGTTTAAAAACATATTATTTTGTTACATAATTCATTCTTCCAAGCATACCCTTCATAAATTTGAAAAATTCTAACCATGTCCCCTCTTAATAAATTGGCACCAAAATGGTACAAAATTTAAGGAGAAAAATTGTTCTACCAAGCTTTAGGTCATTCTACTGAATAATTACACCAAATTGGTTAAATTTTTCTTAAATCCTGTCCAACGAGTGGCTCTAAAAATTTATTTCTTCATGCCAATAACTCCCTTTCAATGAGAGAAAGTTCTCCAATTCTTCTCATACTAAAATTCAACCCATAACTCCCTCTATTTGAATTTCTCTAAAATTGGCCTCTTACCGATATAATTTGATATTAAATATTTTTAAAGTTAACTTCTACACTTTCAGAAGTTGGGAATAATTTTACAATTTGTAATAAACTCTCAAATAACTCTTCCTCATTTTTTTCTTGATTTATTGAGGCCTCTATATAATGAAAATAATTCAATTTATACAATTTTTCCTTAATTATCCAATAATGCCACTAATTACAGAAAATTTTAAAATAAATTATTCTTACTTAGTTTTCACCATTTAGGCCTCAAATACTATTTTAGACCCTTTACTCTATTTTTCATAAATTTTTGGAAATTTTCAAGAATTTTGGACATAATTTTATTTTTGGCCCTTCCTTGACCGGAACTTTTCAAAATAACAATCCAGTCTTTGCCTGGGTTTCACTTTAAAAGTTATACCATCTATGTCTCTATTACAATACCTACCTCTTGAATAGTTCTAAATCCCTTATTAACTAGGATAAAATTAACAGGGTATGACACATGCACCATCATTGTGATGTATCTATATGTAGAGTTATGTAAGATACACACTCAAGTGAAGCGATGATTAGTCGCCTAATCTTAGGGGTTTATTAATTATGTATAGATGATAATGATGTATTAAAAAGAAAGAGAATATGCGCTCTATTATGCTATGTTAGGAATCATCCTATGTTAGGCATTTTATCCTAAGAAAGAAAAATACTAACCAATTAGGTAGGTCATTAAATCTCATCTAATACGTGCAATGGTTTTAGCATTGTTCCAATCCTGACAACCAAAGGTCTCCTAGCTGCCTTTATCATAAAGATAAAGACTCTATTTATTGAAGTTGACCTTCCAAGAACTTAAAAGCTCCATAAGGGTCAACTCTGTTGAATAGGTACTAGCTAAGATGAAGTATTCACAGTGACCTCCGAGGATTCTGGAAATCCTACAAGGAAATTATTAGAACTTCTGCTCACTAAATTACTCATAAACCCGAGTCTAGGGCCCCAATATGTGTGTGACGTAGATAGTGTAAGTGCTTGGTATGTGTGGAGAGCATACAAACTGATTGGCCTAGATTCTACCCAACCTTTATCTACTAAGCAGATTATAGAATAAATAAATAGATAGTAGTAGTATAAAGCAATAAATCAAGTAACACAAGAATTAAAAAACAAATAAAAGGAAAAAACGAATAAAGAACAAAAAAGGGAAATTAAAATATATTAAGGGCCATGTTATTTTAAATAATCAACTTAAATGGGCTTTACTCTCTGAATACCCTTAGGGGAGCCCTCAAACTGTTGCACTCAATTGCCAGTCATCCCATAAAAGGAATGAAAAAGGAGTCACCATCAAAACTTTAAGAGGGTAATTTTTGGAAACCATTTATAAAAGATGGTCTATGAAAATAGAGTAGGGTTTGAGAGTTGATTATGTGCACAGAAGATGTTAGGCATCCCACAGCACCTATTCATGAGAACGGTTACCCTAAGTTGACTATAAAAATAATATCGCCTTTAAAAAAATATTTTAATTAAAAAGAAATAAAAAATCAAAAAGAAAAAGACAAGGTTTTGTTTGCAAACATGAGAAAAATGAATAAAAAAATTATTTACAAAGCTGGACTTGACATAGAATAAAAACCTAAGACCTACATATCCTTTAGAGGGATTAAAGCCCACATAGCTTGGGGGTTAGAAATGCATGTCATTTGTTTGTGTCTTTTAGAAAAATAATTAGTTTCTTAAAACAACGATATTTTTCTATTGTGGGTTTGTATTTTTTAGTATATGAAAGTAATTCTCATATTTTTATTTGGAAAATATTCTTGAAAGAGATTTTGGATTGGTCGCCTCCTGTGAAGATTCCCATAATCTCATACAAGAGAACAATCATTTGAGCATGCGGAGCTTCAAAAACCTCACATGACTCTGGAAAATGTTTTATTTGAAAATATTTCATTTTTTGAGAAGAAGGTTTGGATTACACTTTCTGTGGAGATTCCCATAAAGTCACACAGAAAAGTAATTTTTTGAGCTTGTGGAAATTCTAAAAACCTCACACGGCTCTAGAAAACATTTTATTTTATTTTACCTTTAAAAAGAAATATTGCCACCTTATTTTCATTCCTAAAAATCAGCTCAATATTTCCAAAAAAAATTTTGAGATGAAGTTCAAAAGAACATGAGAGCAATTTATCCAATGACTAAAGAACAAGAAACAATTACTAGATCAGTACAAATCATATAATGAACAAAAGTCATGGCCCAGACATATACCTCTCATGTTCTCAATCTTGCTATAAAATAGAAAAGTGAAAGAGCCAAGTAATAATAAAAAAAATAAAAACAAGAGAGCAACTCACATGGCGTGAATTGAGACTTCAATTGCAAAACCGCCCAGAAGGGGAGGGGGAACACTTGGATTGTAGTACTAGAGAGATCTCGTGGGAGAGTATGAGCACAAGCATATGTTAGGCATTAAGTAAGAAGAGGTTACCTTTGAGGATCCAAATAGCTTCATCACATCTTGTTGGCGCAATAAAAAGAAAAGTTCTAAAGGACTCACCCAATATTCAACTAACTTATGCCTCCATCTCTAACTAGAGATCTTTATAGGTTTGGGCAAGAATCTCAAGATCTTGTTTGAACAAAGCAAAAGTAAGTTGGCCTCTTAGGTGAACTATCCTTCCCTATAGAAATTATTTTTAGGTGATGAGATGGAGAGAAATAAAAATAACAACGTTATGGTTTTCTGCCTTTCTTTCTTACCTTCTTTCTCTCTAAAACTCTGTGTGTCTTCCTCTAACCCTTATTCCCCTATATAGGCTTCAACTAGGGTTTTCCAAAAAAAAAAGATTATTTTCATTTTTTATTTTTCTCAATTATGACTCATTACATTGCTTCCTTAAGCACCAAATAATCATCAAATTTTATTTTTTATTTATTTTTGGTTTCTTTCATAATTATGGCTTCAAAAGATATTTCCAATTGAAGAACAAATCAACTTAAATAAGGGATTTTCTTATTAGTTCCTGATTTTTCTTATTTTCCCTTTTTAATGTTCCTATCCCACATTTCCTAATCTGTCGGCAAATTTGCATTTAATTCTATCTTTTATTTTATTTTCATTTATTGTGAGAAGAATATTGTTATTTGATTTTTTTTGTTTAAATTGCCTCAAGGTGAATTTTCAAACTTGACCAAGGAGGATTTTTCTTTAATTTTTTATTATTTTTTTAATTTATTTCATTTATTATTTCTTGTGGGCCCAAACAAAATAGGGTGTTCACATGGTGCCACAGTACAATAACCACCTATATACCTAAGATAACTCCTTAAACTTGATGCAACCACTCCTCCTTATAACACACAAGGTTTTGTCCCTACTTAAAATCCCATAATTCTAAGCAATAAATGAAAATATATAACAATGAAGTGAATCTTTTTTCTCTCTTAACTAGCGTGATCCCCGCGCGATGCGCGGGATGTATGAATAGGAAAGGAAACAAAAGAAACATTAGACGTACCAGTACTGTTACAGAACACCTTCATTTGACTGTACTTCTCATCAACTTTCACAGTCAGGATGGAGTTGATCTTCCCTAAATGAAGTGACGAAATCCCAGAATCCGAAGCTGTGCATATTACCTCAGAGGAACCAAAAAAGAAAAAAGACATCAAGCAAACGTGAATGAAGGTCTCAAGGAAATAGAAAAGAGTATACCATACAAATTCATAGAGGTACCCATTATGTAAAATAGGACGGTTTTCTCTTCCCCAAGACTGAACCGCTTGCATTCTCATTAATCACAGCCACCGAAACGTCCACTCAACACTCAATCCCAAAATGCATTTCTTATCATCAAAAATGAAAATACAAAATAATATAATAACTCACACCATACGAACATATAGAACAGAGGTAAATTCGTTTTACAAAATCATGTCTGCATAACGAAAACAAATTAATTCCTGCCTACATATTTGCGCTAAAAATAGTTCACTATTACACATATGCATGCATCTTCATGAAACTTATATATCAGCATCTAATATTTGCATTAAGGAACACTTCCCTGTATACAACGTTCATTGTCAACTTCTTCTTCCCACTCTCATCATTGTGCAAGAGAATCTTCAACCCGTCAATAGATTTAACTCTAGATAGCGCAACATATAATTGCCCATGCGTAAAAACGGGTTTCGGCAAGTATAATCCAACACACTGCAATGATTGACCTTGACTTTTATTTATAGTCATCACAAATGAAACAGATATTGGGAACTGCCTTCGTCTCATACGAAATGGCAGCCGACTATCAGAGGGATTCATGTCCATGCGATGTATCAACACCTTCTAATTCGGCATCGAGCCATTCAAAGTGACTGCCTCAATTATTGATTTTCCTAGCTGAGTAACCCGTAATCTTGTTCCATTGCATAACCCTGAAGCTTGATCAATGTTCCTCAGAAGCATAATAGGTGTCCCAATCTTTAAGGTCAACTTATGCATAGGCATCCCGGAACAATTTATTGTATTCAAAAACTCAGTAGTGTACATGTCTTCAATACAATCGCCATCCTGAGAGGATTTGCAAATGGAGTCGCAACTATAAAAATCAACAAATTCACCAGGCAAAATCGAACACATGTATTCATTGATTCGATTCATAGCATCAATTGTTGGTGCTAAAATTGCGCGATCATTAAAATAGGAATTATCGTTCAAATTTTCCAAAAGATCTGCATATGTAGACAAGACAATGGCACCAATTGGGTCATCATATTCACTAATCAATAGTTCAGAAGGTATCTCAATTTCTGCAGTTTCATCATGCGGCATACCCAATTTACCATCACCTACATCTAAAAGCCATTGACAAAACTTTTGGGTACGAGTACGATCCTCTCCCGATGATGATGATTGCAAGCGCATATTAACTGTCAATTGAAATATCGTGCAATAATCCCACAAATACGAAGAACAAATGCAAGCATTAATGATGTCTGCTCTTGACCCTTTGGGAATCACAGGAAGAATTTGCCGAAAATCACCACCCATAACAACACATTTTCCACCAAAGGGATGATCAAAATGCATTATATCCTTCAACGTACGATCAAATGCTTCAATGCAATATCGTTGAACCATCGGAGCTTCATCCCATATAATCAGCTTCGTGACTTGAAGTAAATTAGCCAGTGGAGAATTTTGTTTAATATTGCACACAGAATCTTCATTGACTTGAAGAGGAATTGCAAACCTTGAGTGAGCAGTTCTTCCAGAGGGTAATAAAGTTGCAGCTATACCACTTGATGCCACTGTTAGAACAATATCACCTCGAGAACGGATAGTTGATGTCAACGCATTCCACAAAAATGTTTTCCCTGTGCCTCCAAAACCATATACAAAAAAAAAGGCTCCATGCAAAGAGTTCAATGCTGACATCACGATGTCAAAAACTTTTCTTTGATCCAAATTCAACAAACAGATGAGCCTTCTTGATTCTAGACTTAAGGCATCGCGATCATAATTTAATTCTTGCAAAATAAGATAATTTCTCACATCAATTAAAGGGACTGATGAAGGAAATGGCAGAGAAGGATAATCAATAAGACTCTTTCCATTATGCTGCAACAACAATTCAATCTCTTTTAATGCTGCTTCCTCTCTATCTCTGTCAGATATAAACACGCCTACAATTTAAAAAAAACAAAAAATAACTATTAAAAAAATTCCTGTATCATTCAATGTTTCAAACAAATCATGCAACAAAAACACAAAATTAATCTCAATTCTAAATACACAAAAAAAATTTAAAAATTAATGCTTACAAAATACTTACTTGATGACATAGGATCATCCCGTGAGATAAACAATAAATCCTCCGACAAAACCTTGGATGTCTGCTCCCAAACAAACTCAGGACGACTCAATGATGAAGAAAGTAACATGCTTACAAACATCTTTCTCAACATTGAACCAGATGCCCACAATGAGGCCTCCTTTATACCATTTATGTACTCATTATCATCATCTAACAACCCCAGTGCATGACATGCAGCTCTAAAGGTTGGATAAACAACACCATCGACTGTCCTGATATCTTCAAAAGAAGTAGGGCCTCTAACCTTTGTAATTAAAATACGAAGGTAATAAAGTTCCCCTAACGAAGGTGGTGTATGAGTAATTCTCCCGATGGCGAACCCTTTTTCCCTTCGCTTCCAACTTCTTTTCAATCGTTGATAAACATAGTGATTAGGGAATTCGGAGTAAGTCAATGTTTTTGCAAACAAATCATGCATATTTAATTTCATCCATGCAAGGAACATTGACTCACATACCCTAGGCTTCTCAATCAAGTCTGCAACATCATCATTGTTAGAATATACGACATATTGCTGATTTGGCAAATGGAAGCTCAATCTTTCAACAGCAGGATATCTATGATGAATCTCAAAGGCAAAAATTCTCCAAGCAGCTTCACAAGCAGAAATGTATCTGAAGTTGTAATACTGATGAATCTCATCAGCCGTACAATCACTACTTCCTTCTTGACTGCCTTCATATATAGATGCTACCACCCTATCGTGCCCTTTACTGATATACTTAAATAAGTATTTAATAGCAGAGGATTGATTGCACTTCTCAACATTAATATGAGCTTGAAATATGGACAATAAAAATGAATTGTATGGGACAACAAAACGATTATCCAAAGGAATACCTTTTACTTCTATTGTCCTCCCATCATCTCTTCTTCTATACGTAGGATACCCATCATCATCAATTGTTGTGGTGGCAACAAACTTCTTAGGAAAGTACTTCGAACATTTGTTGTCCTTCATGCAAGGTGACTTTCTATTCAAATGACCACATGGGCCATGAACCATGAACCTTTTAACTAAGTCATATAACCCAGGGTTTGAGTGCCTATCAGGTATTTCAGCAGATATAACTTTATCAATATCAGTCGGTTCTTTTAGTTGATCATTTTTATCAAGAAATAACAAAATGTGTGCATGTGGTAGCCCTCTTTTTTGAAACTCTGTAGTGTAAACATCTGCAATTAAAAAATTTAAATGTATTAGAATAGATAATTAACAACCCCATTTTTAAATATACTTTAATATAATTTATACATGAATCTATATCATAAAGTTTAATTAAAAAAAATACTCGCAATAACAAATAATAGCATACCTGCTAGTACTTTACCAAATATCTTTTCCTTCTTAACTGTTGACATTAAAGCCTTGAGTTTCATATGAAACACACGAGACAATATGTCTGGCCTATTAGATGAAGACAACGAAAGCCCATCACAATATCTTGTGATTTCAGGCCACGCTGGATTACATGTAAAAGTAATGAATATACTAGGATAACCAAAATATCTGCAAAGAGCCATAGCATCCTGATAATTACCCAACATATATCGTGCACCACCAGTAAAAGAGGAAGGCAAAATGACACGTTTCCCAATTGATGAGGCATTTCTTTCACCACTTAATAAAGCATCTATTAACCCTTGGTATAGGTATGCTCTAAGCTCCTTCTGGTGTGTTCTGACCCATAACAACCTTTGAGACTCAATCATTGTGTATCCATCCACTATGAACTGCTGGAATAAATTTCCTGCATGTAGCAATGTTGAAATTTCGTTCTCCCTAAACATTAGTCTATATGCAAAATACTCTCTCATGCTAAGCATCTTCTTCTTTTTGGTCTTGCTAAGAGTCTCTTCACGATGTTCAATATTATCTCTATAACCATCTTCACCCCTCGGAAACAATAATGGATATTGAAGAGCTAGATAAGATGGATGTAACTCATCAATCCGCTGAGGATAACCCGACAACTCATGAACTATAATATCTCTTCTACAAAAATTTATATCAACATCACCTATGATAAGTGCTGCAACCTCAGGCGCTGAAGACAAATTATAGTTGCGCCCATTATGATTTCTAGTACTGATTAAACGTAACTTCAAATTCGAATGACTCATTCATTGATCATTGATGATGCGATCCTGTATTGTTTAACAAATGGATTAACATCATCAAGGACCTTCTTCAATTTCTCAACTATTTGAGGTTGAACTGACATTTGCTTCATATGCTTGCTGCAATAAAATAAGATGCAATGTAAGTTAAACCAAAATCTATGATAAATACGAACAAAAATACACAAAAAACATTGTTCCCTTAATCCAAATATACCTCACGGCAGAAATACGATTAGCCACTTCATTGTTCGTATCGTATATATATAACTGTAAATAAACAGGCTTGCATCCTTCAGGGGGCAACAAACTACCAATCTTATGGTAATTTATTCCAGACAACACAAAAGTGTACGGACCACCACCACGATTCTTTGAGTGATCAATTGTACCCCCCATAGAAGTAAATGAGAACATGTTGTTGTATGACCTAATGTTTGCATGAAAATTCTTTGACTCATCAGATTTTTTATCAAAGAATAAGTCGCATAGCAATTCTGGGGGAGCGGTCATGATGGGAAGCTCCACTTTTCCCTTGAGGCAACACATTGAAAATTTGGGAGTAATTGTCGTTTTACAGTTCCCAACTTTCTCATTGAACCACATCTGAGCACCACATGATTCACATACATATACTGGATCGCCTTCGTCATTGTATTCAGCGTGTATCTCCTCTATTCCTTGTAAATGATAATCAACTTCCTTTTCACTACCTAAATCATTTCCTATTCAAGTAATACAAAAATGACTCACAACCCATTTCACATTTGATATGGAATTACTATATACCAACTCGTACATTTACCTTCAGATAGATCAAACTCATTATCACTGCTTTCACCATGAGAATTGTGAATCGCCGGATATGAGAAATAAACCTCCTTATACCGTACTTCAGCAGGATCTAACAGAAAGCGATAATAACCTCTAGTCACACCATAAAATAAATAATTCAACTTTTTTGACGTCACATCTACTTGGCGCCTTTCTCAGTTTACTAATATTTTGTACACTTACCTATTTATTAAATAACATCTGTATTTATATACCAAGAAAGAGATTAATAAAAAAACTAATATTTACCAATCATACTCATACTGCATTGCCCATTAAAAAACAAAATATTATTTACCCCCACTTAAAAGGTTGTCTGACATCCTCTACTCAATATGTTGCAAAGTAAATAAAAAATTTATAAAAAAAAATCTCTAACAACACAAACAATATTTTTCTCAGAGATATCTGTTTCTATAACACACATATAAAAAATATTAAGGAAAAATATTAGGAAAAAAATTATTATAAAATAATTAAAAAATTCACAATGGGACACATTATCAAATAACGTATAAAATAAACAAACTAAATTTCATTACTTACAATCAAGTTACACATTTCATTTAAAAAATAATTAATGGAACGAAAAAAAAAGGTACTGAGCCATCATTATATAACATACTTCATACGAAAAAATAAATAATATGCGAAACAGCATTCGAACATTTAAATCCAATGAAAATATACAAACTACCCCTTCCACGGGTTTGGAAAATTTAACCATACTACACATATGTCTCATTATTCTTACTGCATATTCATCACGCCACGACACTTAGTAATAATGTGAACTGGGTTGATTTATGGAATGACAAAAATACTTTTACAATTATCCAATTAGTGTTATTTAAATCAGTACGTTATTTTGAGTGTCAAAGTTAACATAACATATTAATTTTAATATCTGAAAAACCACTATGTAAGAAGCTTGTAAATATATTAATCCCACTCAGCAATGGCGGCATAATTTATGTGCAATTAGACTTTTTTTTATAATATTTGACCAACAGTTCTAGTATGCATATAGCGAAGCAGACTTTGTTTATTCACAAGAAAAACCTGATAGCATATTTGGTGATCGATCTTCATTATCAAAACGTGCTGGAACTTCTACATCAGAAAAATCTATCCGGCGTCCTATCTGCATATTATCCCCTGAATAAAAGAAAGATCTTCTTCTGCTCCACCTATAAACATCTTTAATAGAAAAGGGACCAACACAATAGTTTCATGGCACCAATAAATAATAGCCCAAGAGGAATATATCCAGAAAAATTTAATATACGATGAAACACATCTAAAATATAATGAACTACTCACCACCTGACGTCAAAGCATAAGAGGATTGTGGCTGATCTTTAACGGATTCTATTGCCACATTTTCATCACTCGTATAAAAAACAGAGCTGTGTAAATCTGAGAATGAATTATTGGTTTCCATGTAACCGCCGTGATCAGCATAGGAACCACTTCGACCTGCAACACTAAGCATGTCCTCCATATGTGTCCTTTCTATGAACATCCAGTAAAATGAAAAAGCAGAGTGTTAATGAAAAAATTATAACAATCTATAAACTATCGTATATTAGTGCGGACAAAACCATACCATTTTGTGAAACTCCTTGAGATCCTGAATCAAGATTATATATCGTGTTACTAATATCTTGTAAAGCAATTGCCCTTCCTCTACGCTTAGATCCAATTGAACCACCATTGTCAAATGCATATGTCGCCTGACTAGTCCTCTTTTTGCAGCACCTTTTAGTTATCATATTTCCTTTTCCCCCCAAACTCCCATTAACGGAACATTGACCCATTAAGTTCAACAAACCCATCCTCCTCCCTAAAGAATTTGGACCCGTTACTCTTTCAACATCTAACCCAGAAAACCAAAACAAAAGTCAATGCAAAAATATAAAAAATTTTACATGTCACCTGATAAGAATATAACACATACTTATCCTACGATGATTTTCGCTGGAAAAATTTTCTGATGAACTCTGGTATGCACATGAATCTGTGAAATTTTGCAAACTCCCTGCATCAGAACTGACGTGGTTGGATGCCATCACTTCACTCTTCAATTTTTCTTACATAACTCATATATGAGTAACTAAGATATGACCACCTCATTTATATATAGCCAGGAAAGTATGTGCCACCACTTTCACTCTAAGATGCCGTAATGATCTAACTATAAGATACAATATTTTCCTCCCATACTTGGCAGGTCTAACTGTCATCACCCATATCTTCACACTGATGTATATCAGGCTGAAATCATTTTAACAGGTCACATCATTTTACCCCACATTGTTGTCTATGCAGGTATTTTGTGACCCCACCATATCTGTTGAGAAATGCACCAAAAAGCAAATGTAGGAGATTAATCAATCCCTCCTACTGTATCTCTTTGACCGAGAACCGCGCCCCCGTAACCTTGTTTGCATATAGTGATTAAGGCAACATAATGTTTGCATATTTTTTAAATTGATTTTTACACAGGTTGTAAACTCTAAGATAAATCAAGTTTAATTTAGTGAAATTTGTTAATTCACATTTGGTCATTCTCTCTAATTCTTCCAATATTATTTTCACGGTCACTTTGTTTTGTAAAATACAGTTAAAAGATTATAGTTTAAAATAAAACATTGATTAGATTGATTTAGATTATAAATTCATAATCATGCGAGCCTTCTCCTACTAAAAATAAGGTCTTTTATTGATTACACCACTAATTTTATCTGTTCTGTTTAATAACACTTGCAAATTGCTTGTGAGTATTTGAGACCATTTTGTTTTGTGTGTAGCAATGAGCAATGTCAAGTAAAATATTCCTTGTGTTACAATACAAAGCCTTTGATATAAACAGTTGTGATGGAGGATATAGTGATCTACAAGGTTGGTTCTCTGTGTACTCTTCATCCTCTCCAAACTATAAGTGAGAGTCAGCGTGCTGCTCATCCTCCTTGCTAAAGATGTATATATATAATTTCATGGTTGATTGTCCTTAAAGATGCTTATATTAAAAAAACCTCCCTTGCCAAAATATTTGAACAAACCAGAGTCAATCCTGGATCAATATAACACTTACAACATTACTTAATATATATAACTGAAATCGAAATACATTCAACACAACATACATAATAATATCACAGCATCAGTAGGCTGCTAAGACATTTTCCACCCTAACGGGCTGCCACTTAAGGCCAAAATATTGGTTCAAATCAAAACATAACATAACCCCATCAACAGTGGACTAAAAAGCAATAACATTAATAAAGTTATACGACATAAACATATCTAATCCTACGACCCATAACAACGAAAACTACATGCATCACTTGAAGCATCATTTCTTCTCCTGTTTGATGGACTTTAAAGTTTTCCCTCCAAACTTGATAGGTGAATCATTAGAAACAGACAACCCCTTTGAACTTCCTCCTCCAATCCTCCTGGCTATGCTCTTCCTTTTCCCCTTATAGGTGGCTGGCATCATCTCAGACACAGGGATCTCATCAAGATCAACCTTGACCACAACAACATCCTCCATCATACACGGCTCAGTTTGGGGCAGATAACTGTCCTGGGCAAAATCCTCTTGCATAACTACGTAATCAGAGCCCTAACACATTTTCAGAATATTTTGTTAGAAAAAAACAATAACTAAGAATTAATATGAACTAATAAGAGTGTCACATGAATTAGTTAAATGCATGAAATTTTTATACCTCATCTGCCACCTCTTCAATTGCCTTGCCAGCCTTTAGCAAAAGACATTGAACAAAAGAAATAGGTTAACTTCTAAAGACTTTAAAAATTTATATAAAGAATCTTAAAAAACATTATAAAGATTTTCTCACCCTGTTAAATTCATCCATCAGATCAGCAACTTCAGTATATGTAGCAACAGAAATGCTAGAATGTGGAAAATCTACATTATATTGGTTCAGCTTCATTTTGAGCAACAATCTTTTCCCCACAAGAAAATCTAACTCACCTGGGACATCAATGTAACCATCCTTATCCTAACCAAAACATGAGTATCAAATGAGCTCCCTCATTAACATATTTCATGAAAGACAGAGTAAACTTTAAAATGTTGAAAAAATACCTTTGGAAGACCTTTCTCCAGCTCAGCAGCAGTTTTTCCAATAAATTGTATAGCCAACTTATCAAAAAACACAACACTAATCTTTCCAGATTCATCCATGACTGTGTAATGGACTCTAAGCCTACAGCCACAAATGAACACACAAATTTCAAATGCCACTCTACTGAAAATGGTACTTAATAAGACTTACATGTTGGAAATAATTAATAAAACCAATTAATATTGTACTTAATATACAGCCTCCATTTAGATATAAACATGCTCTCAACATCTTACTTAGACTCGTAGGTTGTTGGCTTCTTCTTGCATAAATTGCCCATGCAAGGCTGTTTAACGTCATCATCTTTGGGCTTGCTGCCACACTTTGAACATCCTATATATTTCCATCCATGCCTTGTATCCACCTTAATGACCTTGCACCTGATCCAGAAATATTCACCCTGCACATTAAAAATCAATTATTCAATACAATAAGACATAAAGAACCTTGTCAATAACTTCACCTCCCACCATGCTACACTAACCATAGTTTGTTTCGCTATATCAACAATTGGGATGAAAGGTTGATTCTGGATAACAGAGCTTTCAACCGTATTTGATGCCTTGGAAGATACACTTGCAGAAATTGTGCTAATCGTGGGAGAAGGTAAGGACTTTGCACTATTACGAAACAGACACACCATGTCACATTTTGCAAATAATGCATATATATGACTAACAATCAGGCCTAGATAGATTCATACCTCTTAATAAAATGCTTCACCTCTGGATAGTTCATGTTAAATAAAACTTTAGAAGCATGGAAAGAACTACATACTTCTGGCTTACCTAAATGCCAAAAAACAAAATCAAGTCATTAATGGCCTGCATGATTTAACTTAATCATTCTGAGACTAAAATCAATTACCACATCATCTCGACCTTACCACCACAAGATCAACTGACCAAACACTTTCTGATTGCGTACTATAAAATAATACTGACTTTCAAGACAATAACTGAATTATCAGCAATGCACATGCACTCATATGCCTTTTTACTCAGTCATTTTAGCTTTTGCAGATGTATGTAAATAAAAGTTACTACTTTTGCTGCAACACTTCTTCAGAAGCAATCTCACCTTGTAGCAGTACACTATCAACTAACCCAGAAAAACATCGCGGGCATCAATTAAAGTGAACCAGCAAAACTATAGAGTAATGTGAAGGCCAACCAAAAAACTTAAATTAGATGAGAACTATATATGCCCAAAATTTCATTAGATTAAAAAAGCCAAAACACATTACGTCCATTACATTAACAACCGCCATCATTACAATCTTTTTAACATGATGTTGGGTCTCACAATACTTAATATATTAACATGATGTTCATTTATTAGAGATAAAACTATGGTAAAAATGATGAGAATTGAAACTTTACTTGCTGTGTTCTTTTTTAAAGTTATGAAAATACAAGAAATAAATGTAGACCCTGTCATGCCATCGTTAATGCAAAAATCATGATTGATAAAAAAATAACAAACATCTTCCTATGCATATTTTCCCACCATAAAAATCAGGAAAACATTCTGCCCACCCATGTTTGTTTAAATCTTCCAACATCAGGCTTGATTATGCAACATAATATATCAACATGATCAATTTCTTCAGTCAACCACAGTCACGATTATAAACATCAAGAAAAAATTCTGGTCACGATTATATACATTCTCACCTTTCGCATCAAACCCAATTCTAGCCAGCTGCATCAACATTACCACAGGAGCATCCATCTTGGTGAAGTCCATCATACACACCTCTGTTGCACATTCATCAAGTAACACACAAGACACAGAGTTTTCCCTAATAATTTAAAATCAATGATTAATCATAGCACCCATATGTACATGTATTGGCAAAAATAAATTGCAATTCTAGCAAAGTCAAATAAATTGCACATACAAGTTATCAGACAAAGTTAACCGCATCCTATTCTTCATTTCAGAATCATTACGGTATTCTTCCAATGGACCAACTGAAGTGACAAATCCAATGACATCTGCATATTTATAAAATATATCACTATGCAACTGCTTCACACACATAAAATGATGTGCTTCTCATTCGCTATATATCAAAACCAGAAATTAAATTATAATGATGAACTTCACACTTACCAATGAGATAATCAACACTCTTCTTATCTGTAATTTCAATAATTTCAGATATAGGGAAGAAATTATAGGAGTATTCTGGTATATCAGCTTCCCTTTCCTTCACATACGTATGTTTGCCCAATGTAATCTTAAATGGATGCTTAGTTGCCCTGTACTCCTTAGTGTTACCCACCACAGAAAAATTAGCAATGAAATAACTCCTCCCCTCTAAAGCTTTATCTTCAAATAGCTTGAATGCACTTTTGTTGCTAACCGATGCCTGGATCCTCGTCCCCTACAAGATTTTACCCACTCATAATATACTTGAAAAATCAATAATAACTTAATCAAGTGGTAGTCAATTTGAAACTGTATAGTTACAGCACATATATTTTTACGTGGGAAATACAAATAAGACTAACCTCTTCATCAATGAGTAGCATGGATATACATAAAAGGTCAGCAGGGGAGTCTTTTTCATAAACATTCCATCTCCTAATAACACGAGCAACAATCTTCCACCTATCTGTTGAATCATCAATTTGCCTAATCATTGAAGTCTTTGAAGAAGACATTCTGGTTGATGCACTAAAGACTTGAATTTTCTCAAAAAGATGAACTAAGACACATGAACGGACCTTTAAGAAAATGACATCAATTTATAGACCTCTACACCTTCACGTAGTCGTTGACTTAGAAGCAAAAACCAACACTGATACACTGACGTAACTAAAGATTCATAAACACTGCATTGTAATTATGGCTATAGATCCTCTCTGCACCATAAATCTTCTTGTTTCAGACTTGTTTATGTCGCTTTTAAACCACTATCCCACTGCTACACTCTTTGTGCACACAAAATAATACTGACAAGATTACATCCCATACTTTCAAAAGAGCCACGATATCTCTGTGTTATCAATGTTGCTTCCAAAAAGATTTCATCCAATGAAGATTAGATTTTAGACAGCCCAATATCAGTAAATCTTGATAGAACGTGAACAACATGATTACCATTACCCACCTCAATATTATAATCAATAATTGAATATATGCACGAAACCTCCTACCACAGGCAACTGAGAAGACAAAACATGTTCACGTTTGCCAAAAAAGTCTACTCATATCTGCACAAAAGCTGTAAAAAAAATGTGACAAGCAACATGGACATCAAAAAAGATATCTACCGTAATGATCAACCGTAATAACATGGACATCCAATAAGTTCAACGTAGGCAGGATTTTCAATAATAGATTATGGGAAATATACCGCAATAGTATAAATAACAATAGTTTTAATGAAAAAGTTTTTGAGACAAGTCTAAATTTGCTTGTGTTAACGATAAGTTCTCACCTATTATCAAGCAACTTCTCTATTTTGTGTCTTTTAATATTTTTTAATCCTTTTTTAGTTATGGAATCTTGATTAGACGTCACCTACATGAAATGATTTATCTATGGTTCCCCCCTCATATGAAGAGTATTGGGGTTGATCCATAGGTACCTAATCTTTGAGTATTTTAAATCATCAAATATATATTTGATACTCAACATGAGACCCGTGTCCTCCTATTACACAATTGTTATTTATTGTCAACCCAACGCCACTACTCACAAGTTCGATCATTATCCAGCTTTGGGAAAAAACACACATCATTTTTCTTTTATTGTAAGTCACTTCATTGGATATTAATAAATATTTTTTTTAATGTCAGCGTAATTTTAGAAAAGTTAACTATACAAGATAATATAATACAGATTCAAAACTAAATGGAACTTTAATTTAAGAGTTTTTTTTCCCTCAATGAAAGAGCATCGAGGTTTATGTCCTCATTAAGATGTACTAATTGAGTTCTGAAATCTAAATTATTATATAATTTTAGTAGGAGATTATATATATTTGGTTGATTCAAAGTCAACAGGTTCACTCTCTGAATCTCCTCTAAGACATCTCAATTTGCGTCTAGCAAGTTAAATCATCAAATTACTATGATATTATAATAATAATATAATATTATATCAACAACAACAACAACAACAACCGGTGAATTTGAGGTAGAAAGGGCACAAAAAGCATGTTTCAAGCCATATAACTTGAAGGGCTGCACTGATAATCTATGCAAGACGCAAATTGCAATCAAAGCATGAATAGTAATATTGATACAAAAATTTACAAAAAATTTTTCATAATAATATTAGTACTAATACTTTTTTGTAATTTTCATCTTGGTCTATTTTTTATTAGTAAGAAGTACCTAATAAATTTTTGTACACAAAAAGTATTAGTACTAATATTGCACAAAAAGTCTTGTTTGGTGATATGTCTACTGCCACTATGTAAAATTTAAACAAAGAACTTCAATCATTTTTAATAAAACACCATAAACATATTACGATATATTAAAATAGAAGTGAATTACAATCATACAATTTCCCACCAAATATAAAAGATACATCAACACATTCGACTAAGTTACACAACCTAATACTACATCGAAAACTAACAATAACCATACAATATTGCCACTAAAGGCCAAAATACTATACCTAATAAGACAGACTGAATAAATTCATGCACACAATATTTTGGACATGATTGAAGGGAGTCCACACAAATTGCATAACGCCAAAATCACATCCTTTCTTGATTGAGCGGTTTCTCTGGCTTCATTGTCATGCAAGCATTGTTAACACGCACTACATAAAGTTCATGAAGGTACTTCATTCTTTGTCGTCGTCTTTTGTTCCCTCCTTTCTCCCTCTTATTACTGTATTTCACACGTGGTGCCCACTGTATGGCATGCATCTCTTCCAACTGTATATTCTCCTTCTCCATTTCATACTGACTTTTTGGAGTTACTTGATCTTGGAAATTTCCACACCCAAGGTCTTTCATAGGAATAAAATTTTCAATCACCTTCACGCCCAAGACCCATAAGAGTTAATGATCAAATTTACAAATAGGAAAGTTCACAATAATACCAACCAAATAAATAATCAAAAAGTGTCCTACCATGTCAGCTACTTGACAATACGCATGCACATACATGCTGCTATCAGGATACTCCAGATTCCGCTGCTTCAATTTTATCTTCAGCAGCAACGTCTTGCCGACCAACATGTCAAGCTCTCCAGGAAAATCATACCCACAGCCCTGCTGCTCGTAATGAACGCACATAACAGACTATCAGTGCCGTGAAAATAAAAAACCAAATAAAAATGTGAGTTATGAAAAATCTCACCATATTAAGCACTTGCTGCATCTCACATGCAGTTTTCCCAAATATCTCATAAGCCATCTTGTTTCCAAACACTACAGTGGTCCTGCCTGTACAATCCAGCACAGTGTAATGAACTTTCAACCTGCATGAAATCATGGCAAACTTCATATCATCCCTGCTCTAAATTTTAAACGAAAAAATAACCACAAAAAATGAAAAGCCTCATAGTTACTTGAAGTCGACTGTTGCTGGGTACTCTTGACATATGAAATTCATGCATATAAACTTGCCCCTCACAAGTCTCAGTTTACATCCACACGTAGGACAACACTCATACTTCCATCCATACCTTGTATCAACTTTTACAATGAGACACCTGATAATAAAGTATTCATCCTGAAATATAACGCAGCATGAACACATGATCACATATCATTAAAAATCATACTATCGTCAAAACTTCAATAGCATATAACTCTACATACCACACGTTGGATGCATATGGCAGTGCTCAACACAAGAGGGAACTTTCTAAGAAGGCTACTCTCAGATGCATTCCCACGCAGCAATGAAAACCTCACCATTATCAGGAAAAAAATTAGTAGAAGAAAGAAACAGTTCGAATAGTTACAACGTAACTTGCCCGGTGGTTATCCCAAGCACCTCTATGTATATATATACTACTGAACTACATGATTAATAATAGATTAAGGTAGTTTATTATTCTAATAAGTTTATTTATTTAAAAGGAAAACTACGTTGCCTGAACTAAACTAAAAGGTTTGCCATGACGTTTTTAGTTGGGATTAAATGACTATTGCCAAAGCTTTCCCATGCAAGTTATAGTTGATTCATGAATTTCCCCTGACAATCTACATTTTAAATTAATATCTCAAAAATTGAACAGTATGTTTTCATTTCCCTTGGGCAACGTCAATTTCAGAACATTTTTTCCTTACCTGTTGACATGTAATTTCATGATTACATATTCATCCTGACAAGTCGACTGCTACATCCACACCAAGCACTTAAAACAATCTATTGATTTGACTTGTCAAGCACGATTATCACTTTTCATGGGTGCCCAAGATAGTGTTATATTGACAATAAATCTCCACGTTGACTTTCTGAATTAGTTTTTACTTATGTTGCATAAACAACCATTATGGTGGAAGATTTAAAGAAAGATTGTTGGGGAGAATTTTTTGATATATGAAATATAATATGGTGGAAAAAATACGCATAGGAATATTGCTAAACAGTGCAACTAAATTAAATAATAACCATGCAGATATGTTATCATTTCATTAGTTACACCCATTGACTAAAGCCACAGAACATTTCCCATCAAACAACCAAAAAAAAAATTTTGGGCCTCTCACTAATCACCCTAATAAAAATAATTTACACATACATGAGAGGAAAAAATATGAAAAATCAGTCACCACATCATCTCGACCTTACCACCACAAAATCAACTGATCGGACACTTTCTAATTGCGTACTATAAAATAACACTGACTTACAAGACAATAACTGAATTATCAGCTATTTATACGCACTCATATGCCTTTTTACTCAGTCATTTTAGCTTTTGCAGATGTATGTAAATAAAAGTTACTACTTTTGCTGCAACACTTCTTCAGAAGCAATCTCACCTTGTAGCAGTACACTATCAACTAACCCAGAAAAACATTGCGGGCATCAATTAAAGTGAACCAGCAAAACTATAGAGTAACGTGAAGGCCAACCAAAAAACTTAAATTAGATGAGAACTACATCTGCCCAAAATTCCATTAGATTAAAAAAGCCAGAACACATTACGTCCATTACATTAACAACCGCCATCATTACAATCTTTTTAACATAATGTTGGGTCTCACAATACTTGATATATTAACATGATGTTGATTTATTAGAGATAAAACTATGGTAAATATGATGAGAATTGAAACTTTACTTGCTGTGTTCTTTTTTAAAGTTATGAAAACACAAGAAATAAACGTAGATCCTGTCATGCAATCATTAATGCAAAAATCACAATTAATAAAAAATTAACAAACATCTTCCTATGCATATTTTCCCACCATAAAAATCAGGAAAATGTTCTACCCACCCATGTTTGTTTAAATCTTCCAACATCAGGCTTGATTATGCAACATAATATATCAACCATGATCAATTTCTTCAGGCAACCACAGTCACGATTATATACATCAAAGTCGGTTCTCATATAAATCATCTCCACCCTCACGATAACTCTCCATATCTCCACGAGGTGCCAAGTCTTCAAGCCTATCAAATAGCTCAGCCATGTTTGAATGCAGATAAGAGAACTAAGAAATCAACAAAAACGCATACAATTAGTGACTTTGAATGTAAAAACAAATACACCTCATTAAATAACCAGTTTGAGAGACTTTCAGATGTTGCTATACGAATATAAATATGTACACTCCACTCCAAAAAACTCTCACCTAGTCATACTTAACAGCAAATGGACCATACCAAACATACCAGTACTCCCTTTATAAACAAAATGTAACCAGTAACTAACCTGCACACATGGGTTACCCATGACTTTACCCCATTCTGACACATGACAACCAACGCACGGAGCCAGATGTATTAAGCCATTACTGTTCACACAGCCATTACTGTTCATAGAACAGTAATCTAAGTGAGGCGCCATCCATGAGCTCAAAACAGCTCAAGCCGACCATTGATTTTTTTTTAAGATTGTTATAGATAGAATAAATACTAATCACTAAAGCTCAATAAATCTTCCAAAGAATTTTGCAAAGAATGCTCTATAGCTTATCACTTGTTCTTGTGAAGTTCTCTTTAGGGCAGAGCAACAGACAGGTTAGCAGCCATGCCCTGCCCGTTTAAGATTACACGGGCACGGAACAACCCTTACCCGTAATCAACCTGTTTGAACCTGTAATAAACGAGTTAGTACAAACCTGTGCGGGTTTGGGTAGGAATGGGTTAGCCCGTTTATTACTTCCTGAAAGCTGAAAAAACTTTTCTTAATAGATCAAAGAAGACTACAAAATCAATCAATAACCACTATTAGAACATTAGCCATACCCCAACTAAATTTTTAAAGGCAGAAATCAGAACCAAAAATCAAAAAATTTTATAAAAAAATCATAAGAACAAGAAGGCTAGAAGAACCATTTATGAAAATGAAGATGATAGATTGAAGAAGATGAAGGAGGCTGAAAGAGGGCAGAAAAATTTTCATAGAAAAATCACAAAAACTTTTGAGGAAAGCAAAGTCACGGACACCGAGAGAATGGGTGAGGCATGTTGAAGCCATGAGTGTTTCCCACAGGTAGCCGTTGCTGTCGCGTGGTCAAGATCGGAGGTCAAGGGTGAGGTGTCTCAATAGTGGTGGAGGAAAAGACGGTGATGATAATGCGAGAGAAGGGGAGGAAGAAGAGAGGAGTGGGTGGAGGAGGAAGGGACTTGAAAAAAAAAAAAAAGTGATGTGTGGAGAGTCTGAAGACTAGAGAGGATCAGGTGAGAAAGGGTGGAAACGGCGGTGGGAGATGTGAGGAGTTTGAAGACCGGAGAGGATTAGGTAAGAAAGGGGGAAAAAGACGGTGGGAGACGTGAGGAAGGGAGAGGGCTTTTTGAGTTCTGAAATTTAATTTAAATATTACATAAAAAACGATACTCCTTCTGTCTTTAATATATGACTCAATTATTAAGTTAGTTTTGGTTCTAAATATAAGACTCATTTCTCATATTTATTAATTTTCTCTAAATTACCCCTATGGATACTCTCAACCATAATTAAGTAGAAGAGGAAGATGGGATATTAAGAAAGATGATTATAGTAATTTAGAAAAAACGTATCACATTTCTTATAATTAACTAACTTACCTAACTTCCTTAATCTAATCAAATTAGTTAAATGGGTCTTATATTAAGGACAGGAGGAGTAAAAAATTTTTCCAGTGTAAGGCGTGAGGTGTGATGGGATCATGATTCATGGGAATCAAACCTGGGAAAGAGAAGTAATGGGCAAAGCACTTGGGCCACTAAACCAAAGCTATCACCTTTACAAGGACAAGGAAAAAATAAAATACTCTTCCAGTCCTTAATATAAGACCCATTTAACTAATTTGATTAGATTAAGGAAGTTAGGTAATTTAGTTAATTATAAGAAAAGTGACACATTTTTCCTAAAATACCATAATCATCTTTTTTAATACCCTCTCTCCCTCTTCTATTTGATTATGATTGAGGGAGTATCTATAGGGGTAATTTAGAGAAAATTGATAAATATGAGAAATGGGTCTTATATTTAAGACCAAAACCAACTCAAGAATTGGGTCATATATTAAGGACCGGAGGAGTATTATAATAAGATACATACATATAAAAAAGTAAAAAAAAAATATGGGCGGGCACGGCAGCCCGGAGGTGTGCCCATAGCCTGTCTGTTTATCTTTCTAACCCGCCCATTTAAGTTCACCTGTTTTACATGTTTTTTAGGTGAGTCTAAATGGGTAAAAAATTTTCTGGTTATGGGCAGACATAGCGGGTTACAGGTTCTTTGCTTAGCCCTACTTCTCTTCTACTTGTTCATTCAATCCGTTCTTTTATTTATAGTCCATTTTTGAATTTGTCCATTAAACACAAAGTTAAGTTTCCATTAAGTCCTATCTTTGAAGTAGGTGAGAGTATTAAATGAGACTTTCTGTTGAAACTTGTTTTCGAATTAGTCAGCTCTTATTTAATGCTAGTTGGATAAGCTACTTTTCATCTTAATCTTCTTTCCGTTAGAACTTTGATATCCTATAGTTTGTATATTTTGAAAATATTTTCTCTTTGATAAACACTTATATAAAACAATTTTGAGAGCTTTTTCAAACCCATTGAAATAACTTTTCAATATAAAATTTAGATAGGAAGAGAGTTAGAAGTGACTTGGAATATATCTTTAATCTATTGAGATAAACCAACAGAGATATAACGTGTGAAGCTTAGTCTGACTAGGATAGAATTAGGATTATTTTTTACTTGATTTCTATATCTTGAATATATTTGAATCAAACACTCAAATATAATGTATAGTTGAGAAAATATGAATCAAATCAACTTAGAGTTGAAAACGGCTCTAAATATATTGAAAATATATTCAAGTTTTTTCTTAAGCCAAACGGAAATAGTATATGAATAGATAACGAGGTTTTTCTCACTTGGCTCATATCTTGAATTCATGTTAGTCAAATACTCAACACTCATTTAAAAACTTATAAACCAATTAAATGGCTTTTTTAAAATACATTTAAGAGTAACAACTTATTCAATAAATATTTTAATTAATTATTTTCCCTACAAAAGAAATTCTTCTCTAAATTTGATATCATCAAAACATTGGGTGGAATATTCTAAAAACACAGATCATTTAGACTCAAATACTCAAGGAAGAACACAGATAAAATTTGAATTGAGAAAGTTCTTTAGTCTGAAGAACATATCTGCATATGTAGTCAAAAATATTAGTAAATAGAATCGCTTGAGTAGAAATTATCAGTATTTGAATAATACTGCATTTACGTTTCACACTAGAGTAAGTATTCTAACTTAGATATCGGGAGAATATGACTTGCAAAAGCTCATAATCCGAATCCAATTTGAAATAAGTTTAAAGAATGGATAAAGAGACTTAGAACTTCGAATATGATACTTAAGAGAGATCAAGTAAGACTAAGTTTTTAGAAAAATTTGATCTTAGATATACCTGGAAATAGGATGTGATATCAGAATATTATTCTAAACTTAATTCAAATAGAAAAGAGCACGAGACGTGTTGAAACAAGTTTTATCGAATCAGATATATAACTGGAAATAAGTCTTTAACGAGACAACAAACTTGAACAAAATAAAAATTGCAAATTGACATTGGGTATAATATTCACGGTGGCTAACCTTTTTTCCTTCAACGAAAATAGATTAATCCGTGCGAAGCACGGGATAACCAATTTAGTAAGTATTTAATCCAGCACAATCATCTATCCCTATGAGCAATTGCATATTAAAAAAAATAAATCTCAATTCAGATCTCTCTATATATATAAATATATATGTGTGTATTAAAATCTAACATTGATGGATTGTTAAATTGAATTTTGCAAATTGTATTCCTCCTATAAAGAGCTTGCGAAATCAAAATCATGACTATGATTAATTAAATTTGAAACTCAGAATCATCCCATTGAAGCACAGCAGATTCAATGTTCTGCTCTCTTTTCAGCTTGTCTTTGACAAACCAATCACATACCCTCCCAGCATTAAGCTCCTCGATTGAACACCCTTCTTGCTCAGATATCACTCTCAGCAGATTTAAGGAAGATATCTGAACCAAAAAAAAAAAACAGAAGGAAATTTTAGTGAACTAGTGAAACAAAAAAAATTTGTTAAAAACTTATCATTTTAAGAGTTTATTTAGCGTTCTTACAAATTCATTGAAAAACTATACTAATTAAGTCAATATAATAAGAATAATACTGATACCAAATATGCTTAATGATGCATTCAAATTTCAAAATAGTGGCTAACTATATGACAAAATGCATATAAACTTGGGAAACATATTTTTGATAGTCATATTTTATATCTGGTTCATAATTCAGTCTGTATAATGTGATAATTTGTAATTGATTTTTTATATTTTTTGAAATTTTTAATTTAGCTTATCCTGATAAATTTTGATAGTATTTTACTAAATATAATTCTATCAACGTAACTGATTATATCTTGTAGTTGACAGAAATAAAAGGGGAAAAATGTAAAAGCTAGTTGAAAATTCATCTTGATCCTAAATATAAGATTTTAATATATTTTGTCTTTTATATTTATTCATTTTTTTCTAAATAATTCTTGTGATGATTGCACATATTAAATGGTTTTCATTCTAATGTACATGATTAGCATGAGCATTTTAACAAAAACAACACTCATTTATTAGAAATAACTAACTTAACTAATTTCTTTAATATTCAACAAATTAATTATCTAATTCTTAATTATATTAATGATCGAAGGTAGTATATTATATCTAAATTAAGATTCTTCTCAAATTTGACAAAATATTGAAAGTAAGATAACAAGGACCACATAAAAATGATTTAAATCATATGAGACCTTATTAATGACATATTTTTCTATTATTCATGTAATAAATTGAAAATTATGTCAAACAATAGAAAGTAAAAATTAATTTTTCTTATGATCTTATATTTGATTATATGTATATCTATCATTGATATAAAACCGAATTAAACACCAGATCCGACAAATGTCCAACCAGAAATTTGTGCACCCCTTTACCGTTTATGGAATACAAACTTATCTGGCCCCAAAATGTATTTCAAATTTTCCCCTCAAGTATATTTGCTTTAATTCGCTAAAAGGTCTAAATTAAACTTCAGCAAACCCCCCCCCCCCCAATTTTTTCATACAACATTCATCATTTTGTTCCTATAGTAAAAAATTAGGATAAAAATGCCAATAAAAGTTGGTCTAGGACTAATCCTATCATGTTTTTCAGTCCAAAAAACAAAATCCTATCGTGTTCAATAATAAAAGTTCAAGTTTAATAGTTTGTGTAATATATACGTGAAAGATTACTTAAAATCATATATTCAAAATATTCTTTCCTTACATTGGGGTTTGGCTTCTTAATTATTATTCACACCTCCCGTGACTCTTGTCATTCAATTAGTTATAAGGAAAATGAGATATTTATAGTTTTCTTGAATTTTTAATCTAATATCAATGGGTTTTTTTATTATTAAACCATTTAATTTTATACCAGTAGCACATTTAGTTTTTACACAGGGATCGACTAACAATAAAGTATAATCACAGGGGTTAACAATGCTAAAAAGGTAAAATTTAAAAAAAATTAATAAGAAGAAAAAAATACACAAAGTATCAAATTAAAAGTTAAGAAAAACTATAGGTATTTCAAGAATTGTTTTCGCTAATTAATAACTATAGTTACTACTTTCTTCCATCTTAATTACATTACAAAGACATTTGTGCATTTCATAATATAATATATTTAGTTTAAATATCAAGTTTTCCTACCTATCATCCCATGACTATAAAACTTTCTAATTCATTCAAACCCTCTAACTAATAAGTAACAAATTTTAACTGATTTTATTAACTTGTACGTAAAGTGTTCAATTGAAATTTTAAAGAAGTAGAAGGAGAATATTATAGTCAAATTATCATGATAAGTAATTAAGTCAACTTTTTTGCTGGTTAAAAAAATTAAGTCAACTTTTTTCATACACATTATCTATTATTTATTCTGATCTATAAATAAATCAGAACGTCCACCGATTTGCTATATGAAAATGTTATTAGTGAAATCCGAAAAGAAAAATACCTCTCAAATTTTAAAATATATTAATTAACTATACTTAAAAAGCAAATGATAGCATATTTTTATGTATTTTCTGATATGAGATTTTAAAATTAAAGGTACTATCTCTAGTCTTTTTAATATAAGAGCCAGTTGACTAATTTAAATAAATTTAAAAATTTATTAAATTAGTTATTTGTAATAAATATGTGTTATTTTCTTAAAACACCTTTACTCATTATGTGTATTAGCTAGAATCATCATGTGATAAAACTTTTAATATATGTAATTATTACAAGAACTATTTTTAAAAAAAATAAATTAATATAAAAAATAAAGTGAATTGGATATTACATTTAACATAAATTGTCAAACTTATTTTTATGTTAAAGAGAGGGAGGAAGTAGTATTTTTTTAGAATTTTTCTAATATTATTTATATGAAAAGGGAAAAGAGAAAAAAGGAATATTGAGAGAGGAATATTACTGTTAGACGGCAAAGAAAGCGTTCGTGAGAACTGAGTCCAGAAATCTCCACCAAACCAGCTTCCTCCAGAGTCAAAAACGACCGTCTCTCGCTCTTCTTGTCTCCCTCTCCTCCATTACTACTGCTTCTGCATTTCACTTTCCTTTGGTTGCTTTGGCAAACTAACAACCTCCTCCTTGACGACGTCGTTTCTGGCTTCCTCTCGTTGTTGTGGAGCTTTGAGGTTTCGAAGAGGCACGCCGACGCTGACGGAAGGCGAGTCTTATGACAGGGTTGCACCGAAATCATCATCGCTTTCTAATTATTTTCCTTTCCTTTTCTTTTTTTTTTTTGGATCGATATTGAATTGAGAGGGTTTTTTGGACCTGGCTATTGAATTAAGAGGTTACGAATGCGAATGGATGATTTTTCGAAACCGAACAGGAGAAGTGAATGAGGAACTAGAAGATATGATGGCCTTATCATCTGCTTTATCTTGTGGAGGAGAACGCTATTGACTTCAAATGGGTCACAAGAATTCCGTTGACCCGACCCGAAGTTAGTAAGACCTAGCTGTAGCTTGGGCCAGCTTAGGTGCCCCAATTTTATTATCGTTTAGACACAAAAGTTGGCCTGTGTATTGAATGACAACATTTAATTTGAAATGTTTCCCATCGATACTTCTATAAGTTAAATTACATTTTTGTCCTTGAACTATTTTTCACATGAGCACTAGATATCATTATCTGAGTGGTGCAAGGTTACTTTTAAATTTAAAAAATGCTGCAATGTCACACTCCTTTCATTAGAGTCCGTTTGGTATGAGAAAAATGATGGGGAGAGAGGAAAGAGAAAATTTTAATGAGCCCGACTTAAAATATTAGAAAAGTAGGTGTAAAAGTTTTTAATTATTTTTTATTATTCTTTTATCTTATATGTTTTTTTATTAAGGTTTTAAAATTCCACTTTTTTAATTTTTTAAATTGAGTTTATCAAAATTTTTCCTCTCCTTCCCTCTATTTTCCTCATAACAAATATAGGGTAGGAAAAAAGGACAAATGTATATGAAAAGTAAGCATAGAATATGTATGTGTCTCACATATATTTTAAGGAAAATTTCACGCACGGACCACTGTAATTAATTAATTTCTAAAAGCCCCCTTATAATTATGAAATCTCACTGTAGGAATAAATGAGCCAAATGAAATTAACTTGAGAATAGAAAAGACATTGTTGCTACTCAAAACTATTCTCCTAAAATTTGAAAAAAGGTGCGAAAATTATTAAGGTCTCTTCCCTCTCTCACTCTCCTACAAGTGTTGAACAAAAGCCTTCGCTGTCACCACTGTTTTGGGAATAGGAGCCTTTGATTCTTCTTTGTTACAACAATTGACTAAAAGCAATAGAAACATGTGTGTTCGCATCAGAATTTATTGGATATTGTTGAATCAAGGCATCCATATAATTCTATGAGATGTTCTGGAGAGTGTTATAATCATTGCTGCTTTTTGTTAACAAGGAAGATTTCTATGAGGTGTATAAGTTTGAAGCTTTTTTCCTTTGTCATCCAGATTTCTTGCTTGACAAACTGATCATTATTCATTCATAGCATAAGCATTCTTGTGTCAGGCTCAGTTTATTTGTACTCACAAATAAGTATCCACTCTTCATACTGCAAATTTATTTATTTATTTTATAGTTGTGGATTGTGACTAATTTTTTTAGTGTCACAAGGTTCCACATGCTTGGTTATTTGAGCTTACAAAAGAAATTTTCTTGTTTTCCTTTGTAGGAATTCGATGGGTGGAACAACTTATTGCTTTTTATTTTCCAAATCTATAAAATTTTTGGAAATACTGTTGGTATTAGAGACTAATGTCTTCAGTATAAGATTTTATATGATCGTGTTTGATATGTTCTCAAAAGTGTAGCAATCATTGCTGCTCTTTTATTGGAAGAAAACTTTCATGAACCCAAGTGTATATGCTATTATTGAATTAAAGCTTTGTTAAGCAAGTGAAGTTAGGGAATTTACAAGAAGAATTAGTGTATTTACAAATTAATTGTGGCAATTTGATGTTTAGTGGAGTAACAAGTAAAGTTAAGAATTTTACAAGGAGAATTAGTGCATTTATAAGTTAGTTGTAGCAATTTGATATTTAGTGGCATGTTTGAGTTCTACTTTGTTCTCTTCACATTGGGAACTCTTCTTTGTCGCATATGAACTGCAAGTGTGAGTAAGTGTAACACCTCATGACGAATTTCCATCAAACATAACAATTCTTCAATACACAACCATGATATAAAAAGAACAAGGTAACATTATCCATGACGTACTATATCGTGGTTATAAAAGATTCATCTTACCTCAAATTGTATTACCATGTTGGAAAAAGAATTGAACTACTAACATGGTTATAAGGAGCCTGTGTTATGCATGATGAACACAGTTAAGATGCAGAACAAAACAAATCATCAAACTAAATCCACTTATTTACTATATAACATGTTGCCAATTGTAGTGCGAATCGGCCTCGAGTCAAGCTACTCAACAAAATCCAATTTAAACCAAAAAATACAACCAAAATAGAATTAACAACCAAGTTAACAACTTCAAAAAAGAAATAGAGAATGTTGATATCCTTGGTAGCAAATAAACAAAAGTTAACATAATAGAAAGATGTGTGAAGTAGGGTTACTTTGCCACGTGACCTCTGTCATATCCCACTAATTTTAATCTTCGGAGCATGAATAATAAATTAGACAGAAGGCCAAGTAGTAAAGTAGATTCATAGTTGGAACAACTTTTGAATTGAGATCTGACCCCTGACCGGACTGATATTTTTGAAATTATCGGTCCAGGAAGGGCAAAATGGGAAAGTTGGATAACAATTCTAGAAAATTCCTAAAAAATCATACAAAAATAAGTTAGAGAGTTTGGAATCATATTTGAGGCCCTGGAAGTAGAATTAGCATAAAAATAATTTATTACAGAATTTTCTGTAAACAAAGGTTTTTCCGATAAAATAATAAAAAATTAGCTGGAAACAATTATTTAAAATATCCAGAGGCCTCAATAATTCTGAAAAAAAATATGATAAAATTATTTGAGGGCTTATGTGAGATTATAAAATTATTTCCAGGCTCTAAAAATGAAAGGATTAATTTTAGAATAATTATTACCGAAATCTTATCGGTAAAACCCAAAGAAAATTCAATACAGGTAGTTAGAGGGTGAAATAAATTCTAGAAAAATTCAAAAGACCTTCCTATATTAAAAGAAGATATGTGATAGGTAGAAATAAATTTTGGAGGTCCAAAAATATCATTGAAAATTAGACAGGAATTTTAGCCAATATGGCAAAATCGGGTTGAGAAATGTTGGGAATTGAAAGGTAACACTTCTTCCTTCTTTCTCCAGCCCATTAGGCATGATTTTGGGCCAGGAAAGCTCAGAAAATTTGTGACCCAAGTGGCCCATATGATTAAGGAATAAAATGATAGAAATTATCATATGGTTTATCCTAAAAACATAACTACATGGGACACTTGGCTTGCCCTAATTTTCTGCAGCATGAGAAGGTAGACACATGGACTTTTTAATCCAGATTTTTCACGGACACTTAGAGGGCAAGGGAGGCTGAATATGTTAGGTTTAAGGTTTTGATGATAACAAATTAAGTAATTTCTGATTTAGTAAGTTGATCGATTACCTGATCGATCAAAGGTTAATCAATCATGTATCAGATAAAATGTCTCTGTATGATAATAACTTAGCACTAAGTTTGAGCGATAATTTGATAGATAATTCAAATCTTGTGGGTTGATCAATCAATTGATTGATCATCGTTAACACCTTTAACTGAACAAGCTTGCAGAAAATTAATGATCAATTGATCGATAATTTATTGTTCGATCATCTATCAGAAAAATTCATACAATTCTGGTAAGCTTTTATCGATCACCAGATCGATCAACAAGTTATCGATGAGAACATAGATAATTGGTAAAGTCTTTGTACTTACTTTATGTTCGGTTTAATTCACCTTTTATCGATCAGTCTTTCATTGATAACATGTTCTAACATTGCTTGATAACTTACTGGTTTATTGATAATAAGTTCTGTTTAAGTTGCCTATTAGGATATTTAATCGATCAATTCTTTATCGATCAAATGATCGATCTTCATCACCTTCACTGCACTTAGTTGTTTTAAGCCATTTTTGGATCACCTGATCGATCATTGATTTATCGATAAAATGATTGATCATCCAAACATCTACAACTTTTGTTTTCACATAACTTGATCGATTAATATCTTTTATGGTCTTTTCTAAAATAAGATTTCAATGATTATTTATCGATCACTTGATCGATTAATATTTAATCGATCATTTACTCGATCATCATATATTATGAGACTTCATTGTGAAAATCTCTCTTAAACCTTTTATCAATCAGTTCTCCTATCAACCATTTATCGATAAAGTATTTGATCAATGCTCTTTGAAAATCTATTTCTCTCATACTTAGCTTTATTGATAATATGATCAATCAAGCAGTTTTTGATCACTTGTTCGATCATTGAACCAGTTCACTTCAAAACAGCTATACACGTTGTTTTTCAAAATCCTCTATCTCTTTATATTCAAGCTTTTCTCAACGTTCCTTTTAGTCTTAACTCTCTATTGAAAGGATTCAAAGACATAGATGAATTTAAAGTTTTATTCTTGCATAATCTTTTCAGAAGTCACTGTATTCATTTCTCATCATTTATTGATCACCTGTTCGATCATCTATTGATCCATAAGCTTATCGATAAATATATATGTGTGACTTAAGCTTTTTCCTTGTAATTAATCGATAACTTGATCGATCAACCAGTCATCGATCAAGACATTGATCAAGTAAGTTCATATTATATTTGAAGGAACTGACGATTGATTCTATACTTCTCTAAAACTGTTATATGAATATCAATGATCATCACTTGCTCAGTTACCTTTACAAATTTCCTTCTGAAAAAGGACTTACTTGTTTCTAAGGTTGTTACAGATTACGAAGCAAGCTCAATGGTTATTTAGTAGCCTTTAACCTACCGTGTCAGAAGCATTAATGGCAAACTACCGTTGTAACTGCCAAACACACATAACCGATCTTCCAATGGCTAGAAGCTCTTCAGTCTAACGGTTAGTTAAACTTCTCCAAATATAAAAGGCACAAAGAGCATTGAATGAAGAGAAAAATACACGAGTTACCATCTATTGAAATATTTACTGCAACATTCAATACTCTGTTTTTCACCGAGCTTCAATGTTTAATATTCATTTACTCTGTAAGAGAGTTTGATACACCTTCTTTACTCATTTTCTAAGAGAAACTCAAGAGTATGGACTCTTGAGGGGATTGTGGCCTTATGTAACACCTTATGTTTATACCAATTAACTTGCCTTGCGGAAGCATTTGGAATCACTTTTGAAGACTACAAGTTATGAAAAATCAAGTTTGAAAATTTTCTTTCACGGATTACTATTCATTGTAACCCAAAAATATAGCAAACTTCGAAAATTCATAACTAATTGTAGAAAAATCGAAATTGAGTGATTCCAAGTTCTATGGAAAGCTCTTTGGATAAAATTTTGAGAGAAAATAGTTTCTAAACTGATTGGCTTAAAATTCGAGCCCAGT